TAGTGGTTCTTTTTGCCTCATCACATACACAGTGCTAATGGTATAAATGACCAAGGCAATGAGTTTATAAGCTTTTGTGCAAATCTAGGCTTTGGAAATCCATTTTTCAGCTGATTTTTCAACATCGATCAAAGGAAAACGTTTTAGAGCAATTCCTTGAGCAGATACCACCACGTCGCTATTTATTAATGATTTATTAACATGTTAATGAATATTTTTTAACCATGTCCCCGAAATTTCGAGAGACTTAAAACGACACCATTCATCGCGTACGTTTTGGTAGGAGCCGCCTTATCGGTCAACCACTCGTTTACGCAGCCAGAACTTTGCTTAATGGTGCGAACAACGCGTTGATGTCCTGCAATTTAACTGGCGCCAGCTAGGAGCATACAAATTAAAAGAAATGAGAAATTTCCATTTGAAAGAGGCCTACGTGAGCACGCTTTATTTGATAATCTTCGTAAAACTCCTAAAATCTATTATAGATACCCGTCTAGTGTTATGCCGGCTTTATACTTTCTTGATAATGTCTTTCAAGGCCGCGAATACAGCAGCCCATTGCGACTCATCTAAATTCCACAAAGTAGAGCCTTGTCTGGCCTGAATAGAGCTTTGAGGAGGCTGTATTGGCAGGTTGTTCTTAAGACTTCTCGCCTCGTTAGTTGCCCATATCAAATGACTACCTTGTCCGTCAAGAGGCAAACCCTCTAGAGATTAATTACCAATTAATTGTACCACAGTTAGACACGATTAGAGGCATCTCGGCATAGGAATGTAAAGTATTTATTTTATGAACCGCAAATTATGGTGATTTCGATTGACTGTATAGGAACTTCAAGCTAACTCTTAATTTAATTTACTATCTGCTAATTTTGTTAGCAATAAATTCAGCCAAATGTAACCGAAGCTGTGGAGCTGCGGGGCTCGCTCAGTTGGTGGAACGCTGACATGCAGAGTAGGCTGCGGTCGATTTGATTCTCCGCTCGGACCAATACTGAAGGTCTTAAAATAGCCGACTATCAAGGCTGCCGCAGTTGTAAACAGCTACTTGAAATCCACGTAGCTAGGATGACCAAGCAGAAATGACTTTTGTCCTCAGTTACTACTTCCGTGCTATGAATAAATTGACGCCCAAAAGATTTTTATTTGTCTTTAGCACTGGATAACTTTTTAAGATCAAGTTTTACGCAGATTTCTGGTCAAGAGAACAACGGTCGTGTTGAACTAAGAATTTCACTGAAAAAGAGCAAGTTTGTTAACATGCGTTAGTCAAGCAGAAGGGGTAATTGTTAAGCTTGCGACAACTGGCAGTTCCGTAGTTTTTCTCCAACAAAACAATTTCTTTTTGTTCATTAGAAGTGAAAAGGCAGACCTATGCAATGCAGGTTTCCATGAGAACCATGACAAAGAACTAGCGCGCGAGCAAATGTTCGGTGGTGGAGCGCGAGGTTCGTGGGCAAATTTTATAGTGAGGCTTTTCCATTTTTGAGCCACTTCTAGTTAGTTTTCCTCTGCTGAATATTTTTAATACATTGTCCATATGGCCTCCTCCTATACTCTTTGAAAATTACATTTAATCGTAGCTTCTTTATATGTTTACACCTACAAGAACGACGCGAGGACAAGTCAAGATGCGCAAGCGCACTAAAATAAGATCATCTTGTTCCCAGAGGCCGCGATCCTTTAGTACAGCGACGGGGATTGGATAAAACGTCATTGCACTTGCGTCATGTTTACTCGGCTTATACGAGTGCATATTTATGTTTAAACACTGTTTGACGGGATAGCCACTGAGAAAAACGATGAAAATAAGACGGCTTGATGCCAAGTATTTTTGACGAGCTTCGAGGTGTGTTGACATTGTGATAAGACACAATTTTAATTGTTTCATATAACTACCTAAGAAAGGTTATGAAGGAGAAATTGCGGAGACAAAAATGAAAAGATTACCGTTACGTGGAAATTAAAGCACGCCCCTGTGCAGATAACATCCGTTTCCTTTCCGAAAATGCCATCCGTTTCCTTAACTATCATTAAGGAAACTATCAATGAGTCTGATAAGATATCAGTCATGTATGGACGGGGAATTTTTAATTGGTCCCCTTTCACTTTTTTTTCTGCGAGGTGAATACCACCAGCCTAGTTTAATGATGCAAGTACATGTACGGTTCAAGTGCAATGTGGACCCACCTAATAACATAATTGTCGATGTGCAATGTCCATTGAATCCGCACATAAATGTAAAGTCAGGTGGTAGAACTAGAAGTGAAAACACAACAAATGTAGCGCTGGTGGTGGGGGTAAAAAATGAGAACTGTGGTGCTGGTGGTTAGGTTAAACATTAAAAATGTAGTGGTGGTGGTGGAGGTAAATCATAAGAAATGTGGGTGTGGTGGGGGTGAAACAATAGTGATTTAATGGTGGTTGAAAACATTAGAAATGTAGTGGTGGTGTTGAAAAAAACATTAGAACTATGGTGGTACTAGTGGTGGTGGTGGTGGTGGAGGTGAAACATTAGAACTTTGGTGGTGGTGGTGGTTAAAACCATTAGAAATGTAGCGTTGGTGGTGGAGGTTAATCATAGGAAATATGGTGGTGGTGGTGGAGGTGAAACAATAGTAATTTAGTGGTGGTTGAAAACATTAGAAATGTAGTGGTCAGTGGTGGAGATGAAACAGTAGAAATGTGGTGGTGGTTAACAGCATTACACGACAAAAGTAGGAGCCACGTAATCTGGATCTCCTGAAAAAAAGTATCTCTTACTGAGAGCTGAAACTGTAAAGTTCTAGACCGGCGTATCCCTTCCTTGAAATACAGTGCCAAACTGACTTTTCGGGGTTAGCCCTTAATGAATGGAATACCGTTGGCTTTATGGTGCAACTACGACATTAACCTCGTCGCCAGGGGTCCTTTTGGTTCCGATTCCCGTTGCTGACCAAAAGGATCGCGGCCTCTAGGTCCATCTAATTGAAAATAACGGGAAAATCGTGCGCGGGCGAATCTTAAAGGAAAATAAGTAAAGCATTTCCGAGTTCCAAAAAGTATCACTTTCAAAACCAGGGCAAAAAGCAAAACCTTGATTGTGAAAACGAATTTTATTTGCATGAGAATAAAAAATCATTTTTATATCTATGGCTTCACACTTAGCTTCGCTATGGAGTAGAGGCTTGAGGCAACTCAGATATGGCCTTAAATTCGTTTTCACTCGGGTAGTCAACAGCTACACAATTGAGAAGAGTGCAATTCCCACCGGATTTGTTTGGTACTCTTATGGCTGCGGATCAGGAGCCCATGATTCGGAGCGAGTAACTTCCACACGCTCGTGTCACGGCGTTTTCACGGACCAGTGTATTTTTAGAACGGTTTTGGCGCGAATTTTGAATATCTTTTAAACTTCACAAACCAGCCAACAAATCCAACAGACCTAATAACGTTTAGGTTTCCTTTTTTAATATCTTATAATTCGAATGCGTTCATAGACATGGTGGAGATTGTATTTTCGTGGGAAAAAGTGCCTTAAAATGTATCTAAAAATAAACTGGTTCTTAAAAACGCCGAGACATTGGCCTAGTATGAGAGGGTTCTCGGCTTCCGTAGTTATGGGCTCCTGGGCGGATTCATTGTTTTGCACACCAATATGGCCGCCGTAAGGTCAAGCGAAAACGATCTTAGGCCTTCCTTAGGGGGTTAGGAGAGAAGATATTTTAGGGGCGGACGGAGGATCGAGGGGTGATCGTCGGCAACGATATATCGTTACTTCAAAATTCCTTTTTCAAAATTTGTCGCGATTATTCCAGCTCGTTTTAAATGTCAATGTATGTGATAATTTCCTTGAAATTGAATTTTTGGGAATCGAACCCAAGTTTGACGGAAGAAGAAAAATTCGTGGTTTTGTTTTCACGTTCTCAATGAAACGTTGCTCATGGCAATAGGCCATTTCCGAGTTCTAAAAAGTCTCACTTTCAAAACGAGGCTAAGTGCGGAACTCATTTGTATAAGAATAAAGAATAATTTTTCATATCAATAGCTTTGCACTTCGCTTCGCTTTGAAACAGAGGCTTGAGACAACTCAAAAATGGCTTATTTCTCGTCGTAGGTCGGGCATTGACTACTAAACGTACCAGAAAATGTGACTAATCCGGCCATGTCAACAGAAACCGCTTAGAGCGAAACGTGGTTTTTTAGTCCAGGGGCCCGTTTCTCTGAAGTCCCGATAACTTTTCGGGCCCGAAAAGCTGTTCATGTTTGCTGGGTTTGCATTCAAGATCAAAGTTTCAATAATTTTGAAAATGATACAATGCAACTATACAGTTAACGAAGCAAAGCTTCTTGGTTTGTCAGTAAGGAAATGTGCTACTATTCAACCGGGTTTGATTTTAAAATTTGCCTTCGGGCCCGAAAAGCTACCGGGCCTTTGGAGAAACGGGACACAGGGCTTGAAAGACTAAAGGAAAAAACGCCGATAATTGAAAACATTTCTATTTACTGATTTAATGTTCATCAGCTATCAAAAATACAATTTTTGTTTTATCACGTAGTTTAACGAACAAAACCCTACACAGCATCTACCTTTTATAGAGATCAGCACATCTCCGGGTATGTACTGTCAAAAACATTGTCTTAGAGGGGTGCAATGGCTTTGTTGGCAAAAAATTAAATGCAATGTCTATCTTTATTAAGAGTGATTAACTTCTTACGTCTAATTACGATATTAATGAGTTTACGCAACACGACGGCAGAAAGAAGAGGACGGCAAAACGCTTGTGTGTGACATACTTGACGTGGTTATTACTTAAGCGCTTTGTGGTGATCTTCACTTTCCATTAATGCTTTCTGGTCTTTTACAAGAAGAACAAGAGGGTGAAGTTTGTCAGAAAGTTTTTTAAAACAAAATTATTGTCACACAAGGTTTGCCGTTTTCTTCCTCTCCCGTCCTGTTGCGTAAGTTCACTATTACTGGTAAATGAGGATCCAGGTAGTTTAGTTTAATACCCGCGCATACAGAACATCGCCAACTTGGTGCGACTTCCTATTAACAATAAAACAGTATGACAAATCCTGTAACGAGAAATGGGAAGAAGATTGCGGAGATTCAAAGCCTTTCTCCAAGGCTTTAAACACTGGGTTCGCGTTAAGTTTTGTACCGCAACGTCTTTAAAAATTGTCAGGTAATGACTACTACTGTACATCGAGTACCTCTAAAATCTTTCTTTCATTTAGTACAGGTATAATTTCTGTAAGACATCGTTAACAGTAATTCGTTATGTTTGAACTTATACTTGTACCTTGTGATTGCATGGATCTAAACCATGCAGTCGAACACACAGCTTGAGGCCCCTTCCACATGTATACTCATTTATTTGAAAACATTAAACGAAAACGCAACATTTCAAAAACACTCTACTTAGACATGACAAATTAGGTGTAGAGGAGATTTTTTTTCAAACGGAGGAATAACTCTTCGACTTCAAATACAAACTGATACATGTGAGGGGGCGTTAAGTAGCGCAAGCGTGCGGAATAACCACCATATAACACCACATAATTGTGCAAACAACGTTAATCCCTAAACATTTCTACGGTAAGGTAACCGCGTAGTGGTGTTCCTGGCCTAAGAGCAACGGGAAGCCAGCCACGGGAGAGAGCACGAGCGAGGGGCAAAGAAAAGGAGAGCTTGCAATGATAACTGAAGCGTGGTAAAATAACACTGGCTGGAAAATGACGTCTGCTCAGTCGGTTTTCGATTGATGACAGTCTTGGCCTGCCTGCCATACATAACTTTTCGCAGGAAAGGTAGAAACATGATGCTTTTTTGGTAAAACACCGCCAGATATCATATGTTTTTAAGGTCCAATTTGGACTCCTTTCTTTGCCCGCCCCTCAATATGGCATCTCCTTTGGCGCCCGCTCCCGCATGACTTCTTACGATATGCTCCAAATAGAGAGCTCCACAGCAGGCTTTGCTGTTACTGACGCAATAAGAGCGAGCCCCTAAAGTTGCTTCTTTACCTGTAGCATGTAAGATCAGCAGTGGGGCTAATCCGACAGTTGCGTCACGCCCATTACGGTACAAATTAGCCTTTCGTTAACATTCGTTTTAAAGAAATTACGAAAAACAATGAAGGGTCATCACAAGACTTCGCTATCTACAGAGAAGAAATTCACAACCCAGAATCTAACCCGAATCTTTTGGTATACTAACATTGTATTCAAAACTATCCTTTGTTTGCCTTAATGTAACATAATTCAGAAAATATACTACACCTACCATGTTATAAGGCTTGTTTACCGGCAGTGACAGAGGCACCCAGTTGCCAAAAGGAAAGAGGCCGCGGCAACAAGTGAACGCCGGACAACAGTTCGCTTTACCACTTCCCTGACTCATAACTCGTGAAGACTATTCCTACTATTAAGAGTAAACATACTAGGTTTCTATTCAAATGACACCTAAACCTTAAAAATTGCAATACACACAGGTCACCCGGCTGGGTCACATTTCTTAATTGAACATGGTTGCGATTGACCAGAAGTTTCGAAATTTATAAATAGAGACCTTTAGATTTGAGGATGAGAACGACTATGACTACGAGATTTGATTTCAAGCCTTTTCGCGTATTGTCAAAAATTGACACCCCGGAATTCTTCATTGAACTTTTTTTCACCAAAAGTCAGCAATGGTATCGTTTTTGAAGGAGGTTAAGCCTCCCCCGAGAATAAAATGATAAAAACTCTTACATTTGATAAATTGTTCCTGCCACTACGGCATTCTCGCTAAAACTCGTAGTAAACTGAGGACGGTTACCACGTTTTCCCGCCAAAATGACGCTGGTGCACGCGCGAGTACTACTTAGTATTGAGAAAATCTCGTCCACGTAGTCGTTCTCGTCTTAGAAATCTAAAACTTTCTAATAACTGTGCTACTAGTTTTTACCACCCTGCGAGCAGAGCCTCCTTTTGCCTTCTTAACCCTTTAAACCCTAAGATCAAAATTTGAATTCTCATACGTTGCCCCTATTCATTTCCTACAGAAGTAGTGGGGAGAAGTTGATAAAATATCAAGCAAATTCATCTTGTGTGATCATGTCCGTAATTCTCATGACCACTCTGTTTTACAAAGATTGATATTACAAGGAGAAATTTGATGCTGATCACTCCTACGGCTTAAAGGGTTAAGTGAGGAGGAGAAAAGGAGGTTCTACCTGAATCGCGTCAAATCTTTGAGGTCGCCGCAGCTCAAACTTCTGGACTAGTCAATCTTGTTCTCTCTCGTCAAACTGTTTTTTTCGAGTGCGAGCATCCGTTTATTGATAAACCGATGGTCATAACCGAGCCCGCTGTAACAAGCAGTCAGCTATTAGGCCTGGGTTTGAAACTATTCCTAGCAATATGCCTCGCCTGCTCAACAAAGACCTTAGTCGATTCATGTAGAGTCTTTCTCGAGTAGCCAAGTTTTTTTTTGCACAGTTTTCTCAATGACGAACGAGGGCAGTCGCGATTGTGAAATGGTAAACAACATCTACAGTAGGCCAAAGCCTTTGGCGTGCGTAATGGCTTTCAGAAGCCTTTCTCTCAGTTTCTCACTGCTAGAGTACTCCGGTAACAGAAGGACATTGAAACACGTGTGGGCAGTGGGCAATCTACAAGAGGAACAAATCGAACAGGCATAAGTAATTAAAATAAAGTGATTTAATCTTTGGTTACAACTCAGAAGGAAGCTCAAGAACAAGCACCATACACAGGCCCCCTAAGACACGGTAACTTGAGGTCCGAGAGGTAATATAAGTGGTGCTCTCGTGCAAATTAAGCTTATTTCACAAGAACGATTTTGCACTTAACCTCGTTTTGAAAGTGAGAGTCCTGAGAACTCGGAAATGGTTTATTAATCTGTTCACGGCCAGATTAAGTATATTTTGGTTCAGTACCTGTCAGAATCAGGTCCATTCCTGGCAATGAGGAGTTTGAGTTTAGAGAAGCCTCCAACAGGTATTCTGTCACTTCCTGTAGTGAACATCAACAACTGCTTCTTCTGCTCCAAAGAGAAACTATGCACTATCTCCCAGAACCATCTGCAATCAGAACAAATCCCGCAATTGAACAATAATTTGACACCGTGATAGGACAACAAAAACATTAAAGACCGGTTTGAACGCTCCAATTTGTAGGCGCGATATGTTAGCTCACCAAAACGGAAAATTTATGCGCCAGAGATTATAAGATCGATCGTTCCACCCAAAGAGAACGCCGAAATGAAAGGCACCCTTAAAATCTGTTACAGTGTGATTCTCCGCGCAATTGGTCGATACTATAATTGTATCCGTCTAAGAGAGAAGTATGTCTTACGGACAGTCAACTACAACTGAAGACTAAGGTAGAAAGACCGGGCCCAATCTTGTTCTCCGTTTTAGTGAGATGTCCGTGCTACACAGTGTGAACTAAGAGGAGTAAAGAAGGTGATGGCCCAAATATACAATCACGGACTTTTCTGGTTTCTGGGTTGCCTCATAAAACAGTCCATGCTTTTCGAAATTTTCTTGCAGATCTTCAGTCAACAATAAAGGACTCAAGACATTGTAGTTTGATCTCTTACCTAATCATTGGAGAATTCTCAGTGAAACCATTTTCATATCCAGTTGACTTTTCCAGTGCTTCAAAGTCGAAATCCTGCAGAGTAAAGTGCAAGAGTCAGGAAGTCACGCAAACTACCAAGACACTCACCCAACAATCACTTTCCTTAGAAGCACTTCATTTTAGACTAATCAGCATTATAGGTACCTGTATATCTCTGGGAGCTCAAACGGATACTAAAGCGCCAAAAAAGGCTTTACAATAGAAAATAGCTCACTAAACCTGACCAATCACAGTGTGTACTAACTGAGATGCCTTTAAGTTCTAAGTAACGATCCCTCGAAATAAACGTTGCTAACTGGAATTTAGCCTAAATTTATCTCAAGACAATGCCTGTCAGCGGTCTTTCGTATGGGATTGACGGGGTTGTTGAACAGTTTAGCGAGGCATTTACAGTTTTGTTGTTTAGATCAGGCCCTGGTTGTTCAAAAGATGGATAGCGCTATCTAACGGATAAATCACTATCCAGTCCATGAGTATAAGGAAACCCAATTGCGCTATCCAGTTGATAGAGATTTATCCGATGGATAGCGCTATCCATCTTTTGAACAACTGGGGCCAGGCCATTACTTTTGCGTCGCTTTACGCTGCTTACACTCAAAAAGTATTATACTCACTGCCTATACAGGTATAAGGCGACGGTGCTTGAGTGGATGCCACTCACAGGGTTGCTATAGTTACAGGCTGCATTCGGCAGCAGTTGTTGGCTTTACCAGCCACTTAGCATGTCCCTACACCCTCATTTTTTTGTTGATGAGTTTAACGTTAAAAAAATTGTAAAGGAGAGGAACTCAAAGAAAACCGCCACTGCCTACCACCAACAGATAGCTAGAAAATTGTAAATGCTTTTGACCAAAAGAATATTTAAGGCATTGGTGTGCTTTATATACATAATACACACCGGAAAACTGATTTTAATTGTTTGTGAACAAGTTATCTGTTCTTGAATACCTGGTGTTCCCACATTCATACTGCAAAAAATTCACAGGGCTAAATGCATTTGCAGTGGCATTATTTTCAATATGATGTCCAAACAAAACAGTTGACAGTTTCTAACTACCATAGTAGTAGCGATCCCTAAAGGCTGCTTATTCCAAGAGTAACGAGGGCTGATGCTTTGGGAACATTTCTATTACGGAAATCTTTACGTTTTCTGAACACTTTAAATACCTGACAGCCTGATACGAGCAGCTCCACTTCATCTGGACGAAAAAATGTCTTCAGTGGCGACTCATCTACCACCATGTCAAAACCACGTCTGAACGCTTTGAACTAAAAACACAAGTTTTAAATGACTTATTTATCGGTAACCTCTCAGTTAACGGAGTTTTATCTTTATCTTTCATGTCGCAAAAAAAGATGGGAATTAAACAGACTAGGCTTTCATTTCACAGAGGTGTAACTGAAAAACAGAACTCGTAAACAATGGTCAAAGAAAATATGGACACACCAGCAAATGAGATGAGATGTCCCAAATTTGGAACAATTTAAGAAAATACAGAGATTCCATTTTGTTGTATTGGTTCAGTAAAAACCGTGGATCACTTGAGCTGTAATATATCAAGCAAGAGAAGAAGTGTTTCATCACCAGATGAAACACTACGAAGAGAGTTGAAAATACGACGCGCAGCGGAGTATTTTTGAAGAAAATTCGAGGTGTTTCACCTGGTCTGGTGATGAAACACTGTGTTCAATGCTTCATATTACTATTCAACCAAAATGATTTTAAAAGGAGAAATAAATGAAGCAAAAATGAGCAGTTTTTCATCTGATTTCCAAACACTGGTAGAACGGGTGCCTGCTACTGTAAAATGTTGCTTAGAAGCTTCCCCACTTACAAGCACCCCTCCCCTTCCAGTTATAGCCCCAATCTACTTGTACATAAAAAAGTACCTCCGATTATAACCTCCCACCCCACCCCCCTTAAAATGTAGTGAGATGAACTTAATTTATTACGACGTTTTGAAGCTTAATTACAAACCAGTAAAATTAACACAGAACGTATTTTGATTGGCACTGTGATAGATTTTTCTACTCTGATTTTAAGCCCCCCTCAGATATAAGCACCTCCTTTGTAAGACCTCATAAAACCCCTAACGAACAGGTAAAAGCCGGGGACTTGCAAGCTGCAGTTTATGGTCGGCCGGAATTGGTAAGTGAAGGTCAGAAGGAGAAAACAAACTGCTGCGTAGGCTCGCGGAATGAACAAAGGGGACAACCACAGGGTGTGTGCAAGGGAAAATAATGTCTCATCTACCTGTTTCTCAACGGACTTGTTGAGGATAAAATCAGCATACAGCTCGACAAACTCCTAAAATTGAACACAGAATAAACAAATGTTAGAAGGCACTCGTCTTTCCATTCTCTCCTAAATAAATAAGGGTTACTGACCAAGCGTTAGGTCAAGATGGCTGGCTATTGGCCAACTTCTTTCTTAGGTTTTATCGACGGAGACGAAAACGCGGTCAACAACAACGCAAAAACGAACGAGGTCAATAAGCAGCCATCTTGATTTAACACGTTTGGTTAATAGAGTATTAGATATATGGCCAAAAGGAGAACTTTTTCTTGCGGGACCAACGAGGAAAATCCCGAGCGGAGAGCCAATCGGAATGCAGGATTCACTTCACCTTGCCCACTTATGGATTCAGCCATTATAATAATTGTTATTATTAATAATATTGCAGATCTGCAACACTGTGTAAGAGACATAATTATACAGACTGTTCAAAATCCCATATTTCCCCACGCGGTTGTAGAGGTTTACTGTTGACAAGTTCAGAAAACCACTTTCTTGATTACATCTCCTATCCCCGTGAGTAATTTCACGTTCCCTAGATGCTGAACACCAGTAAAAGCAAGATGGAAACCTTTTAAACTCAGCAATAATTTCTCTACAATCACAAGAAAATAGGGGACTATTAACAGTCAATTCAAGAGACTACCAAAATGACTAGTGCACTGGGCAATATGTCCTGCAAACTAACAGGAAAAGATAAACAATAACTTTACCCATCTGTTTTCATTGTTAACCACCATCTGCGAACCATTTTCCTTCAGTTCTTTGGTTATCGAGGAGCCAAACATGTCTGTATATCCAATGGTGAATGTACACATCATCTCATTCTCTACATCACCCTCATAATCCAACAGATCCTGTAGACTGGCTGCAAGGACCTTAAAAAAGAACAGCAACAAAACGATGTTACAGTGAAATAATACAGCTGTTGTTGGCTTGGCCATGTCAACACAAAGTGGGGCAGTAATGCTACATGTATCTTTATGGAAGTTACAAGTTAGGTTTGCAAGTGATGTGGAAAAAAAATGCTCCTAAATCTATTGATAATGAACTCTTCCGATCGGAGGATGGTTTCGCATTGCAGTTCTAGGCAGTTATACCAAACAAAAAAACACCACAACAAAATAATGGCCATAATTTTGGTAGCAGGGAAGCACCTAAATCTAGGGGTAAGGGGACAAGGAGAGAAGCCCTCCTGGAGGGAGACAAAATAGAGTGGTACCGGAGGTGGCCACTCTGGAGAGAAGTACTGATCAGTCTCCAGGGGTGAGGCCCATATCCCTAAGTCACTAGGAACTAAGGGGAACCAGGAGGGGTGGGCCTCCTGGGTGGAGTACGATCATGTGGGACCAGTGGTCCACACCCTGGAGGAGACATGTTTATGGAACTGTCCCCAAGGACTAAGCCTTACTGTGGGGTAAAGTGCAGCCAGGGGTTGCACATCCCTGCCACAACTATATAAGAAAGAAAGACAGGACCCGACAAAGGAATGTTACCTATTGTCCATTATAGTACAATAACATTGATTTTCCTGCTCTAACTCTTGGACTGATCTACTCTCTGACATCCTCCTTCTACTTGAATTTTTTTGACAATCCTCGTTTTGAACTTTAAGGACAATGGGTTCAAATGCCAGAATAAAATGTAAGCTACATGACCACACAGTATTTGGTGAGAACCCCATTGACGTGGCAACTTACAGAATGTGAATCCTTGAGATCTTCAAATGTTCCTTTCTTGCCAAACAGTTTTCTGTAAACAACCATAGGAAAGTGCACATCAAGAATTACATTGTTGTAGATCGCCAAACCAAGAACCAAACCAATCAAAAAGAACTGGCCATCTGTCTCAAATGATGTTGGATCAAACCAACAATACCGAGTGGCTTCATCAAAAGTAAACATTCCTGCAAAACAAATGTAACAATGGCTTCAGAGAGACAAACATGCAGCTGCCTTAGCAACGCTCAAAAACCTCAAGACTAAAAATTAGTTAGCTGATTGTAGCCATTAACACAAATTTCTGTCAACTGGCACCATCCTTAACCCTTTAAGCCCCAAGAGTGACCAGCATCAGTTTTCTCCTAACAATGTCTATACAAGATCAAGAGACTGGGTTATGAGAATTAAGAAAATCATCAAAAAAATAATCATGCTTTGGTCTTAAAACAAATTCTCTCAATTAGTTTTTCAAGGAAATGTATGGAGATCAATGTGGAGAATTTTTATGTTGATATTGGGATTAAAGGGTTAACTTTTAACAGCACAGAATATGAGAGCTTGACTCATGCTTGCGACATGAGAAATACTTACATGTGCATCTTTTCCCAGTTTTAATACTACAGGAATTAAATTTCAATAACTCTTGATAAGAGTGTGCAGTTGGAAATAATTTACTTAACATAGATACAGTATAACTGTGCAACACTAGAAAGAAATAAATTAAATTGGAATTATAATCAACATTATTATTTTTAATGTCTTTACCAAAGTCGGGATTAAAAATTTCCTCAACGACGAGTTGAAAGAATTCCTTGGACACTCCACCCTCGTCAATCCCTTGTTCTCCTTCAAACTCAACAAACAACTGTTTCTTCAGGTCTGAGGGATTGTCTTGGGAAGTCATTTCTAACTGTAACAAAAATACTAATACTTATCATTTAGATGTCTTAGTATATCAATGACAGAGGCAAATTTTGATGAGGCTAAATAAAATTGAGGCTAAGTTAAACTTAAGACAAGGCTGGCCAGCTATCCCTTGGAGATATGCGAGGGCATCCTAATCACACCAATGGGCTTATGGGTCCATTCTCTTGAGGTCTGGCAATTACATTTGCCTGTCGTGGCTTGTACTTGCAAAATGCTTTTTCTGCTCCCTACACCCCCCTTCCCCCTACAGTAAGTATATGGTAAGTACATTAGAATCCTCTGGTTAGTAGTGTGACAGTGTCTGGGTGGGTACCACTCTCAGGATTGTCAAGGTTGCGCATTGCACCTGGCTGCAGTTCAGGGCTCTACCAGCTTCACAGGCACATTCCTCCACGCTCATTTCTGTTGATGAGTTTAATTAGCAAATGAGAGAGGAAATGATTTTTACTAGTCCCTTTTTTCCAACCAAAATGACCGAGGTAGATGTACGTGTACCTGCTAATTGTCCCTTGAACCAGCTCTAGCCCTTCTGAGCTACAAACTCAAATTCTGTTTGTTGCAGTAAATTAGACAATAGATCTTAGGATTCTGATTCTACATACACGTACAGTACATGAAGTTGAACAACCAGAATGATCAAAGGGTCACTCCTAAATTATGCATTGAAGGTGTTGATCATCCAACTCTGTAAAAGCCCTACAAGTCGTTACAAAACCCTTGGGATTAAAGACTGATGGGCCCTTGTGACTGCACTTCAGTGTCACTAACTACTAAGTTGCCCTGGACAGTTGTTGGCAGCTTGTCTTATATAATCATGCTCATTTGGGTACGGTTTGTAAAATCATTTTTCCCATGAAAAAATTAGGTGCCAAAGTTGTGTACATTTATGACCATTCATAGATTTATGAAAAGTGCTACAACCATTCTGCAATGGCAGTTATAGCCGGAAAAGAGAATGTGTTACTTACACTAACAAGAGCATCTTCAATGAGGTGATCCCTTCTAACTTTAAGTCGGAGGTATGGCACTGGTGGCTGTCCTCTCACAAGACTGTAGATTAAGGTCAGCCGCCTTTCACTGTACATACGCACCCGATTGTCGTAGTACAAACTCAGGCTCTTTGTTGCAGTAGAAAGGATGAAGTTGTAATTGAGGAAAGCAAACCTACCATGTGAATCATTCTTAAAATGTGAAAAGTCTCGATCTACCTCGATTTGGTCATTTAATGGGCCATTGACAAATTCTTCATATGGAATTAATGGTTTGCGACAGTTCAGAAAGTCAATTTTCAATTCCTTGACAAGAGGATCATCAACAATGTTACATGCCGTGGCTGCATCTTCACAATCACCCCCAGTTTTGTCAAACATTCCTCCTAATATGCTAGCATAATGCAGCAACTTCATTGTCTTTGTAGCTGCCACAATGGAATCATCCTCTTGTACTGGTGAACTTTCCATAGCGCTAGGTCCTGTTAAAACCTGATATGTAATCAGCTGCTGTAATGTTTCAACCATACGTCGGATCTGCTGACTGGGAAACTTTGCCCAAATATGGACCAAAGTTGCCTGGAGTTTAACAGGAAGTAGACCCATAGCATTGAGAAAACTAGGCAAGGCTTTGTCCAAATATTCAGGGCTCTGAAGCATTGAGTTCTCCATGATTATCACAAATTGGTTCAGATAGTTAGGGTTGTTGCTTGGTGACTTGTATCTAAGGTCCATTTCAAGAGTTTGAGCCAAGGAAACCAGTGAATTTATTAAAGAGTTCTCAACTGAGGAATCTCCAGTTTTAAACAATGCTGAGTACATACGTCGCACACTTTCAATGTCAACATTAGTTGGCATATCTTGGGTTTTGGATGGCACATCCAATAAGAAGCTTTTGTTGAGTGATTCAGAGCTAGAAAACACGACACCTATTCTGTGCACCAGCCTCTTAAAGTTTCCTTCCTTCTTGCAAGAGTCCAGGTCTGACAGTAACGACTGTTCTGTAAGAAATGGGACTTCCTTGCTTGGAACTAAAATGGCCAAAAACAAAATCTGTGAGCCACAGCAACTGATTCCACAGCAATAATCTAACCTAAGGGAATCTTTACTATAATAATAACGGAAGTAAATTGGTACGGCATATTTTACTTTTACATTGAACATACTGTACAATACAGCTTACATGTATGAGCGCTGGGTTTATTAGAGTTTACAAGGAGGTTTGGGTTGGCTAAAAATGGCGGATTAGCTCATTATAATCCAAAATTGATAACACATGCAATTGGTAGGAATATAGAGTTTTGTTCTCCAACAAAGTTTTGGTTCAAACAGATAAAAATCACAAAACTTGCAGCTGACCCGGGTGAGGAGGAGGGGTGAGAAGAGGATGGGTGAGGAGAGAATGGGTGAGGAGGAGGGATGAGGAGGAGGGTGAGGAGAGACCAGGGTGAGGAGGAGGGGTGAGAAAAGGGGTGAGGAGAGAAGGGGTCAGGAGGAGGGGTGAGAAGAGGGGTGAGGAGGAGGGTGAGGAGAGAGGGGGGTGAGGGGGAGGGGTGAAAAGAGGAGTGAGGAAAGAGGGGGGTGAGGAGGAGGAAGGGGTGAAAGGGGGGTTTTGTTCTCCAACAAAGTTTTGGTTCAAACAGGAGAAGGAGGGGGGGATGAGGAGAGAAGGAAGAGGAGAGAAGAGAGGAGGAGGGGTGAGGAGGAGGTTGAGGAATACAGAGAGGGGGGGTGAGGGGTGAAACTGACTTCAAAGAGTAAACAGAAACTTGAAAACCCTGTATAAGTAAAAGGTTATTTTCAACAAAACACGAGGATCTGATGAGCAACTGATGGATTGTACATGTAAATCTTCCTAACATACATTGCTGTATGGTCAGAGACTACAGCTTTACATGGACTAGATATACCAGGCCCCAGTTGTTAAAAAGCTGGATAGTGCCATCCATCGGATAAATCTCTACAGTGGATAAGTATTAGAGAAACCAATTGCCCTATCCAGTGCATAGAGATTCATCCGGTGGATAGCGCTATCCAACTTGGCCAGGTTAACAACTGCACAATCCATAGAAACTGTGATGATAATAGAGCAATTTTTGTATGACCTTGAAATGAAAACGGGCGAACAAAACATAAACAACACAAACAGAAATAAGAGCGATTCAATTGGTTTATCAAACAGACACAAATGCATGTGGCTTTTGGCTGGTTAAGCGAACGCTCGGGTGAAAAAAATTTATGCCCAAGAACTTTCTAGAAATCAATCAATACTTCACTTTCATGTCATACTGCAACACAATTGGCCAATCAAACAATGCCTTCTCCATATTAGGGTTCTAAATGGTGGGAAAACGAAGAGTCCATGTTTTGATCTTGTCATCCATTGTTGATAAAAAAATAACAAACACTTACCAAACTATTTTTCAAGGTCACACGAGAATCACTGTAATGTACAAATAGCTTTGTCTATAATTATGCTTAACATGTCACCAGATCAATTACAGTGTAGGAATAGTGGTGAAACGATTAATCAAATTCTCGATTAATCCTAATTATGACCGTTTGGTTCGATTCACGATTCTTTGCTCTCATGTTTCGATTTTGGTTCGATTTTTGCACACCTTTTCCAGGGTGCCCTCAGTGAGTTATCTAAAATAAGAATCCAGAACTCTTTAATGTGCGTTTTTGATTGACAAGCAAAGACGATAGCAGTTTGTGCACCTGGTAAAAATGCTGTCCTTCAACCTCCCCTTGAGAATTTCCAAATAAGGCAAACCATGTGCAACATGCTCTTTTTCAGGTTCTTAAACATGGCATTGAACCGAGCAACTGTGAATCCTCCTGTCCCTGTTACTATTCTCATATTGAGGGTTTACGGTTGCATGTTGCTTACATTGCGCATTATGTTATAAGAATTAAGAAACATTTACATAATGGAATCAAAATGATCAAAATCAAATCGAATCGCAAGGAATATGAATCGTTACACCCCTATATAGGACGTGTACACATTATTCAGGTTAAATTTCTATTTCCTCTGTCTCCTAGTCCTAATTATTCATGAAATAATATTGAGGCTAGCAGACAAAGGAAATTGAGAATCAACCCGGGTTGAAAAATTCTAACCTGAACATAATTTTGAACTACAACATATATCTTTCGGTTTGTTGGTTTTAATTTCAGTTTCATGGACCCTGACACCCAACCTCCCTCCAAAAGATGCCAATTTGATTTACTAAAGAACCAGGATGACATGAAAGCAAGATTAGGGCAGTAAGAACCCATCGCCAGCTGATACAAGTAGGCTCAATCGTTCTTGTTGCTGCCAACAATAATGTTTCCAAAATAATGTACAACTATCTCAACTCTCTCTTCAAGAACTACATACATCAGCAAGGAACATTTTTTTGGAAACGAGGATACACTTTTCATACTGCCAGTACCGTGTCTTTAAAACTTTGCACCCCTCATGTTACGTACGAAAAAGAAATTCACCAATTTTAATATTGTACCCCCCCCCCCCTTCCAAAACAACTGCCTTCCCTACCTGCAATACCTTAAATGATCAGTCCTGTTAAGACAATTTTCATCATTTTTCACTCAAGAGCTCTGCATGGGTTGTCAATAAAATTCTGCATAAAAAATTTCTGTGGTTACAGAATACAATGGTACTCAGGTAAGGTACCTTTGTGATTCCGCTCTTGCAATAATGGTTCACAAAGGCGAGCCTTCTTCATGAACAACTGCAAAGCCAGAGCTGCAGCATCATCCTTTGAAGTCTGTTTTCGTCCACTAGATGCACAGTACTCATTGCTACACCCCTCCAAGCCACACCCATCAGTTAGCTGGAAAAAGTAGCTCTTGATCATCTGCTCTGCTGCTCGTTTCCTATACATGTATGAAATGATTACTTAATGATTTGTGACCCACTAAAGAAATGAAATACACAGGTTTCCAACAAAAAATCAAAGGATTTCACAGGTCCTCTGACAGAGTGCATAGAGGCAGGACTGCAATGTTCGATCAAAATTGCACAATGTCTCACAGTCCAGCACACCACCAGTTTTTAGAAATACTGGAACCCAGATGCTCATTTAAAATTTTTGTTACAAAAAGATGTGCTTATTGGAAAGAGGGTGCTCAATCAAGGAAGGTGCTGTAAGGAAAACAAAAACTACAACATTATCCACATAAGCATTTAGTCAGTTTTAATGTCCTTTGTTTGTTAAAATAGTGCTTCGTAATCATGTATACCACAGGCCCATTATACACTGCTCCTGACACTTAAGATACACATGTTTATCATAAAAACACCGATGAAATACCTGGTGAGCTTTCGCTCAAAAACATGATATCTTCACACATGAAAAAACATGTTATTTTCACATGAGAAAAGATCACCATTGCTATGGCTACATAATAAATTGTGTCTTTCGCAGCAAGAAAATATTCAAGTGAAATGGCTCGGTATTTCACTGGTGTTTATATAATAAATAGAAAATTACATGCCCGCTTGGAGATACAAATTTTCTCTTCTCGTGTTGAAAAATATTTCACTCGTTCGCTGCGCTCACACGTGAAATATATTTTCAACACTTAAAGAAAAATTTCGTATCTTCGCGGGGCCATGTAATATCCTCTATATCTGTATTCATGTCTATATAAAAATATCGATAATCTTATCATGACAATCAAATATCAATTATCTCATCAATAAAGTGACAAAAGAAACAGGTTTTCCTTGTGTCCCTATTATTTAAAAAAAATGAGGGGAAGGAGAGAAGGGTGCTTATTCAAGAGGGGCACTTGTTTGATATTATGGCCTAGGGGAAGGGTATTAATAAATTAGATTGTGAGTGCCAGAGGATTCAAATACAGTACGATTTTGGGAACTTTGTGCATGTGGGTGCTTTTCAAGCTGCCCCATTTCCAACAACACCTTTTCTCAAATTGTTTGGTTAAACAGTGATAAAAAGCAACAAGGCAACCTTTGAAGCTCAGCACAGCCCAAAGCATTACATGTAGTTAGCTTTGAATTTAATCCTTAATTACCGTTTCAGTTAGTGTAGGTTGTGTACGTGCACATTATTTAAATATGCATGCGCTTTCTTTTATTACTTAATTGACATGTGTATTTAGTTCGTTATTTAACGTATTACATTTCTTTGGTTGTTTTCCTACTTATATACCTTGTCGGTAACTGTGCTCACGTTGAGGGTGGCTCCTCCTAAAATGTTCTACAGTTGGTGTAGGATTTAATGATGCCGAAGCCAATATATATATTGAGGAACTGCACGCATTTTAGGCATCCTAATGATGAACATTTACAGCTTTTAGATTTTTTATGTTTTAGACTTTTAGATATTTCGAGCAACAGCAATTTGCTGTCTGTCGTCTTTAAATTACTCGGGGTAGTGTTTTCATTTTTTGGTTATGATCAAAACACAACAAATTATTCACTTCTACACTGTCATGTTAACCTTTACAAAAAAGAGCAGGCTCTGTAAACGATGATGAACATCTATATTAATCCCTGATAAAGGAATCACACAATAATACAGGTGTACAAACCTGAAATTTATGCAACAAACCAGTTTACAAACAGGGCTGCTATGCTCTAGCAGCACCTGGTGGCCCCTGGCAGCTTACTTTTTCTCTTGGGTTATTAGGAAATCCTTTTTTTCCCATGGACTGTGGATTTCACAGGTTCAGAGAATTGGGCTCCCTTCATTTTCTTGAGAGTACAGCCTTGACAAAAGGTGTTCAAACGGCTGCATTGTTTATGCTGCACCACCACCGTGCCAAATTGCTTGTACAGCGTAAGCAAAATGATTTCCACTGTACAGTGGAATGACTCACACCTGGGCACAGGGGGGGACTCCCTTATTTGGCCTAAACAGGTAAGTGTGGCCGCACAGGGTATTGTTTTCAGGCTCTGGAGTTTTAAAAAAAGTGAAGCCAAGGTGCGATGAGTGGTCTAGTATTTGAGCTACCAACAATTTTTTTTCCAAAATTTCATTATGTTAGTTTGAAACATTTCTTTTACAGTACATGTATTATTCTACTAGCAAAAGGAGATGAATCAGGCCATAAAATAAGCTTCCAGCATTTTTTAATCACGGTAGCAAAATGAGTGATTCTTGTTTTTAAACAAGGTATGCAGGGGTTTCAATAAAAATTGAAGAAGCCAGCAGATTTGACAAGAGTGTCCAACTGTATCAACAAGGGGCCATTTGTCCCCTTTTACTAGGGGGTCTGGGGGCTTGCTTCCCCAGAATATTTCTTTTGAAATTTCAAAGCCCTAAAATGTGATTTCCAGTGAGCTAGGTATTAAATTAAGGACAAAAGAGTGTGTTTTTCATTTAAAAAAATGTAGCTTCCATTCAAGTTTTGATTTTTCGGCCACACAATCAATTCCTACAACCGATGAATGAATGATAAAAACTAAATTACGTACCTTGCAAGTAAAGAAATTCGGTGTAAACTTATAAACTTGAGAAAAATTGACAGAAATATAGCGCTCTTAAAACTAAACCATAACGTAAGACCAGTTCATTCAGATTTTATGCTACTTTTTTATTTACAATGTCATTCAAACTAGTTGCTTCCCAGTTCTTTCTAGAAAAAAAAAGGCGACTTCTCTGAGCAAAGAAGCCAATGCATTTTGTTGGCAATTGGTGCTTATTGAAAGCCTTGGTATGGGGTTGGAAGCCCTTGGCAGCACAGTTCTACCCAAACTCCCCTTAAGTGCAAACCCCCACCTCAGGGAACTTACTCAACTGTTACAGATATCACTTTTTGAAAACCCTACTTATCTTTTTAAAGTCAATTGATTACAATGGATTAATTGCCTCATGGTGAACAGTTGTGATAGTGTTGTTGCCAGTATATATTCATTTGTAAGGCAACTGACATCAATCATCCACTAAAATTTTGGCATAGATATTTCAAATTTTTTTTATTGTCAAAAATTAGCTGTGTGTTTTAAGCTACTCAAAAACCGAAGGAATAAAGTTAATTGGAATGAATAACACTGCGACAATAATAAAATTCTACAATGTACTTCAGCACTTGGGTGCTAAGGTGATGTTACACAAAGCGATTGTTGTAACCATTCCAAACAATGTCGAAACGGTGTTAATAACTCTGAGTTGCGCTAAAAATCGTCGTTTCGAATCGTCTCGTGAAACATCACCTTTTTAATAAATTGCAAAAGCAAACAGGCACTCATCACTACATGTACAACGAACAAAACAATACTTGAACAAAATAACGTAACATAAGAAAACACCTAAGATTATCGAACGTTTGTGTTGCCAGGACGAATGCCCACGGCTCCACAGATTCTAATCCAACAGTTGAACTAATATTAAAGTACAATAGTATAAGGGGAAAATTTTATAGTGCATTTAAATACAATGTATATCTTTAAACAAAACAAATCTCAACAGCGCGTTGAAAATTAACACTATAAAAACTAGGATCAAATTACGCTCGTTGGTAAAATAAGAAAAGAGCTAAGGAGGGCAACATAGATGTACAGTGCATAGCCGAAGCCCGTTACACTGTAAAAGTTGTCATATAAACAGAACACAGTGATTGTGACTTACATATCTGTATGTTCACTCCCACCAGAATCTTGACCACAATTCCTTTAAGAAAAGACACACAACAATGACTGCCATGGTAAAGCAAACACATCGTACAGTCAAAAATCTGGCCATACGGAACTGACCACAAATGCGACAAATTAAAAACAACCGGCTCACTGGCAGAGCTCTGCCATGTTTGATTTAAGAAATGCACGCACTGGCTGAAGCTTACCTGGACTGATTACGGCCACCCTTTCCTACGGAGGAAAAGTTGCTTTGCGTCGACATAAAGATGACTGTGGCGTAAAATGTGCGATATACTAGCTTAACGACGTGAAGGATCGCAAAAGTTTAGTCTTTCTCAGAATCTCCATCATGCTCTCCGTGTCATGTGTGCTCTAAGGATTAGCCAGAATGGAATTATGGGAATGGTGTAGACCACAGATTAACCAATTTATCTGTACATTGCAACGGGTTTTGGACAACTTTCGTACCTTCACGCTAAATATTTAAATTTGTAATATATAGATTTAGCTAGGGATAAAAGCAAAGCTCTCGTTAGTACACATAGTTTACTCAAACCAAATATAAAATCGTGTAATGCCAAGCGGCGAAGGCAACGAAAACAGCCAAAAAAATCAGTAGGTCTGATCCCCGGGTCTAATCAGCCAAAATGAACTTTGCACGTGCGGCACACTTTTTTCTCTAATTAGCAAAAAAACAACTTTGCACGCTTTTCTTGTACATTTCTTTGCCGTTGTTTTGCACGAATACAATGGGGCTTCCAGAAACTTCCTAGTTACACGTTTTATGGAGGAAATGTTGAATGTGTTATAACGTTCTTGTTCACTTTTTTGTTCGCTGCCAATCATTTTCACCGAGTGTGGGCTGCTACCATCCCGAAGGGGGGGGGAGGGAGCACTGCCATATATGGGCTAAATAGGTATGTGCCGCTGTGAAGGGTATGGTTTTAGAATAGGGTATCATTTTTCAGGAAACTGATCAGTTGGTTGTTGAAACAGCTGCCAATCAAAATTTGAACACCTGGTATAGGAGGGTTCCAGGGGGGCACATCCCCACCCAGCTACCCCCGGGCTAGCATTTCTCATTTTCTTACCGCCGCTATAAAATTTTCATGTTATTCTTACGACGATATTGGTCTCCTTTGTTTTTTATCTCTCGCTCTAGCTCTTTCTCTGTTATCCACGTCAATGTAGAGATTAAAATGACCTTGAAAGAAAGAATCGGCCTTGTTGTTTTTCTTTTTTGTCTAAAAGTCTGGGTGGTTATTAGCCTGCGAACAG